CTGCTGACACTGAGGATAAGGTTACCTCTCCCTGTTCCTGGAACATTTTTTCCTGCCCTTGTCCCCATTTCAATCCCAAAGGCGAGTGTGAATCTGTTCTACTCAGAGCCATCTCTGAGCAGACAGCGCTTTGCTGACCAGCCTTCTGTCCAGATTTCCTTAGAGACACACAAAACCCAAGAAAGTCAGAAGTCAAGAACCCCAAACAGAATCACATGCTGCAGCCACACACCAGCAGAGAGGTGGCTTCTGGACTCTTGGCCTCCCCACCCTTCACCCTCCAGCTGAATTGGGATTACTTTATTTTCCACTGAAGTACACAAGCTGGGAGAATGGGGCTGAGCCCTGCAGCAGCTGAGCTAAGGCAACAGCCTAGAGCAGGATGCACATAGTAGCATTTGGACCACAGCTACTCCAGAGGGCTATGGAACCAACCAGCAAAATCCCAGCTGAGTGGACAGAAACCCAGCAGTGATCACACAAGGTCTGGCCCAGGGAAATGCTAGCCAGAAAACCAGTCAGCCTCTGTGTTTCTTGTAAAATAATGGAGGGAGGGATGGCCGCATATGGGCATTCATGAGTTATCTAGCTATCTTTGCACATGGGATTCAGTGTCACTTCTCAGCAGGGGCAGATCTAGAGGGGGTGCACTTGTAACCCCTGCCCTATGATTCTACTCCACGCAAACTTTAAAGCCAACTGCCTGGCAGTGGCAATAGCACTTCTAGTCAGACAGTGCTGAGGGAATTAATTGACTTCATGGCTCTTTATAATTTACCTGATCCCTTCTTCAAACTCTTCATTCCACAGGTGTTAACAATTCTTTTGTTCCACCAATCAAGCTATTCTTTGTTCTGAAAATCTGCTGTCTGTTAGTTGCCCTGGTAATGAAGTTCCTATTTCACAGCCCTGCAGATGGTTTTTAACTCATTCTGATGAAGTTATATTTGTTTTTGCTTCAATCTTAAATCAAATAATACAGCCCCAGGCCCCTAGCAGATTAGCAAAGCTTCTAGTTTTTCTAACTGGAAAATAATACATGTTGTTTTAAATGTGATGATGCACCTCTCCATCTGCACCCCCCTTTTTCAAAATTCTAGCTCTGCCCATGCTTCTCAGTATGCAAGGCAGGGTGTGGCTGAAACGTGAGCCCTTGCAAAGATTCTGGGCAGGCCTGTGACAGAGTGTCTCCATTTGTCACTGAGAGGATAAGGGCAAAACTTCCCTAGAAGAGCTACAGCCCCAACCCACTTTGCAGCCCCTTGACTGATCACAGCTAGCCAAGCAAAACCATAGCCCAGAAGTTGGCCCCTCACCACTACCCTTTCATTATTGCTTCTTAGTGGCTTTCATCCCCTGTAGTAAATTCTTCTCCAGCCCCAAAGAAAGCAGATTTCTAAAACACCTTGTTCCAGTTCTTTCCTGGAAAACTTTGCACTGCTTGCTGTAGTGACAGACACCCATACCCTCCCCACCCAGCACTTACATTGACAATAATTCCTGCAATGGTCTCATTGGACAACTTAGTGTCTCCACACGTCCGGATGTTAAAAGCACTGATCCTCAGTGTGGCAGCTGTGTGCAGCAGGTAAGCCACGGTCAGCAAGGACAACACCAACTTCATGGCTCCCATCCTGAAGGGAAAAAGGAAACCAAAGTCCGAAGTGCTGGGGTGAAAGGTTAGAGTGGCAGACATGGCATCACACTGCATATTCCCTACCTCCCAGTGCTGGACAGCATGAACATCACATGCCCCCGGAGGCTGGGGAGGGCACAGGCGGCAGCAGTGCTGTCAGCGGCAGGAGTGTGGTAGAGGCAAGTGGTGAGCACCCACAGGCAGCCACGGCAATGTCGGTGGTGGGGAGAAAGGGTGGTGAGCACTGACCGGTGGTTGATGACCACCCGCAGACACTGCCGGTGGTGGCAGCAGCAAGGGCGGGGAGTGATGAGTGGTGACTGCCCGCAGGCACCGCCAGCAGTGTCAGGAGCACCTTTTTACAGGAGGTGCAATGCCACGCTAAGAGGTTGCATATGCACCCATGTGCACCCCCTACGTGTTGCCAATGCTGAACAGAGTTGTGATGTACAACAAACCAGTCTCCCTAAGGATGTTCCTGAGCCCCTGGAGGTAATTGCACTCCTTTTGTGGCATCTCCAGGAGCTTGTTTTAAATATAAGATGAGGAAGACAGTTCTCATATGTTCCCAGCTCTGAATTATTGTGCATCTCCACCTGCCTTGCTGTGTTTCCAATCAGCTCCTTCCAAGCACTTGACAACAGCAAATAACCAGCCAATGTTGTGTCAAGGACTGTCTGGCCAGTGGCTTTGTGTGGCTGCAACTTGATGTCTCTTAACAGCTTGGCTAACTGAACTTAGATAGCCAGCCATCTTTGTAAAATATTCAGCTGGTTTGTTAAATTCTTGTGAAATATTTACTTCAGAGACAACAATAGACAGGTAAATCTCCCATCCAAAGAATACCATAGATGGTATATATCCTGTAGATGACTGCACTCTGCTCCAGTAAGCTATCATGACATAAGGGAGTAACTCATCCCACTCTTGATTGTCTTTGATCAGGGAGGACAGCATGTCAACCAGAGTGCAGTTGAATTGTCCACTAATCCATGAGACTGGGGGTCATACAGCATGGTGCAGGTTTTGCTGATTTCCAAAAGGTCACATACATGATGAAACAGTTGAGATTCAAAATTTCTTCCCTGGTCAGTGTGTAGGGATCTAGGTACACCATGGTGGGTGTGTCTACACATGCCCCCAACTGTGCAGTCTTTACTGCAATCATTTATTACTTGCTTTAGTACTAACCATCATTACTGCACAGTCCTGATGGCACACGGGTCATTTCCAACCCTACTACATAGTAGCAACAAGCTACTAAGAAGTAGCTCATTGCTACTGAACGGCAGCGTCAGTATCACGGTTCGTGCCTGCTCACACTACATCTCCCTAGTAATGAGCTGCATCACTGTAGTTCATCACTATGGCAACATAGCATCTCATGTAGACGTACCTGGTAGCACACAAATCTCTCAACAAATACCTTCGCCACAGTCTTAGCCTCCTGATCAGACAGAGGGTATGCTTGTGCCCACTTGGAAAAATAATCAGCCACTACTAAAACATACCATATTTCGTGGTGTATAAGTCGGGTTTTGAAGTCCAATTTTTGGGTCTTAAAAATGAAACTCAGCTTATACACTGTGCCATATCAAAACATTGGGCACAGGGCTGAGCTCGGCACTTGACTGCTGTAGCCTCATCCCCTGCAAGTGGTGCTTCCTGGGCCACACCAGCGCTGTTCACAGGGGATGGGGCCACCCCAGCCAACCGCCAAGCCTGATGCTGCTCACAGGGAATGAGGCAGTGCCAGCTGAGTGCCAAACCCAGCCCCATCCCTGTCCCCATCCCCACCCCCTCTGGGGCCATCCCAGTCAAGGGCCAAATCTGGTGCCACTCACAGGGAATGAGGCAGTGCCAGCTGAGTGCCGAGCCTATCCCCATCTCGTCCCCATCTCACTAGGCTCTGCATTTGGCCGTGCCACTTGCAGCAGACAGGGCCAGGTTTGGCACTTGGGTGATGCAACCCCATCCCCTGTGAGCCTGGTGCCACTCGCAAGGGATGAGGACAGGGCCAGGCTCAGTGCTCAGCTGGTGTGGCCCATCCCCCGCTAGTGGTGCTGGTGTGGCCCAAGCAGCGCCACTCGCAGGCGAGTGCAAAGTGCGAAGCCCAGCCCCATCCCCGTTCCTGTCCCCCTCCTCTGCTTGCAGGTTACAAGGAGTAGGTTTGCTGCTTCCTGAACTCTCTCAGCCTGGCCATTCCCTATGCCCAGGTATGTTGCATAGCACCCAGGCACAGTCTGTGTCTGATTCTACCTCTCAGCCCCTGTGTTGGCTCAGCATATTGACCCCAGACAATAATTGCATTTCCTTGGGTTGTGAATGTCCCCATGGTGTTCCTTGCAAATCAGGTGATCAGGCACCGGATGGGCCAGATCAGGACCAGCCCAGAATGGCAGCCCAGAGTGGGAGGGAAGGCATGTGGCACTTCTCCTACACAAAGGCTACTCCCAGCCCCAACAACAGTACTTATACCTCCTGCAGCACTAGCTTCCCAGAGGAGGAGGAGTGGCAGCCCTTCTTACTTTAGCCAGCAGGCTGGCTGGGAGAGAAGTAGCAGTATACTTAGCATCCTCACCAGCTATGACCCAGCCTCCCTGTGCCAAAGGAACCTCTTGCTGGGGCCCTGTGCCCAACACCTGGTACAGAAGGCCAGGATTAAACCCCAGATTCTTTCCCATATTGGAAACCTGCTGTGCTCCCCACATAAAAGCCTGTGGACACTAGCACACAGTGTGGAGCACTCATTTATAACTCCAGGCCTCTGCTTCTAGCCTTACAGCCAAGCTTTTCTCCCACCACAGTTCTTGCTGACTTATAAGGAGAGTTTACACATTAATCCACTGCTTGAACCTCTGCCTGAGGCTTCCTACTATCTTATATGCATTACACACTTGTTTTTTGATCCTCTAGGCACCCAGCTGCCTCCATAATGCCTTGTTGCTCCCTAAGCATGGATCCTGCCTCTCTTCCTACCTCAGCTGTGAAAGTCTTATGGCTACTTACTGGGCCTTGTACCTGCCCTAGCCCCCTACTAGCTCCACAGCCAACTGAGACCCACAGAAAACCTTTCAGCCCATTGACCGATTCTGACCTTTCAAGACAAATGAAACCCACCTCATTGAGGCAGGCCACAGTGCCCTACAGTGCCACTCACTAGAAGTTTGCCCTTAACCTGCCCTCAGTGATGCATACTGTCCTCCTGCATCAGGGCCATTTAACATTCTTACTTGGTTCAGGTAATGTTCCCAAAAGCACCACCTGCAACACCTGTTCCTCAGGCTTCGCTTATGCTGACGTTCAACCTGGAGCCTCCGGATTCCATCCCCAATGTCACTCTGCCCTAATGAAAGACTTGATTGTTTGGCTGATGGGGAAGGCAGGAGAAGTGGTGTAGGGGGCGGGGGGTGGGGAGGCTGAAGTGACGGTGTCAGCTGCAGGATCCTCCCCTGGGGTTTCCTGGATCTCTTTGCAGTTTTCAGCTTACCTGTGTCACTGTATTAATGCAGACAGCAGACTACTGAAATTCACAGTCCCCAAACTTTTAAATTTGCCCCATCCTCACACAGGCTACCTCTCTCTAGAAACCTAGTGCTCTAACACAGCACTATCACTTCTACCTACACAGGTATCAGAGGAAACTCTTTTCATACTGCCCAGAGCCCTGGAATAGTACTTCACATATCTTCTCATAGTTCATGGCTTTTTAACCCAGTCCAAGACAGTCCCCTTCCCAAACCCTGTTCCATAATGAGACTTACCCACCCAGCCTTGGTCCTTGCATACCGTTCTGTCCCACCACCTGGGGAAAAGTCACTGCTGTTATGAAACAGTTTATATGGGCTGAGGACTAGGACTTGTTTAGCTACATAGTCCATGTGACTATTACCTACATCTGCTTAAATGTCAACTCCATGAGAACTACCAAAGCATTTTGGTATTGGCTTTAGTGTTTTGAAAATGGGGAAAGTTCTGTGGGGCACCCTGTACCTCCTCTATTCAGCCAAAACTTCCATTAAAATAAGGAGCTCAGGACTTGGACCTAGAGAGGAATCCTATGTAATGCAGAGGTTATGGCTATATACCCCCTGCTGCCATTGACTGGCTAACATACTCCAGCTGCCCCTACATATTGTCTGAAGGAGAAAACTGTTTTGTTTAAATGAATTCTACACATTTAAGAAGAAAATAAAAATTGGTCTCACCTATTATGCTGGTCCTTCCTGTTTACATATAGAATGTCTAACCAGCTCATATTTATGAGATTGTGTGGCTGGATTGTGCCAAGTGGTTATATCACCCAACATTTGCTCAAGGCCTGGGATAGGAACCACCTGGTTGTTTTCATGAAAGTGAAGGTTTGTTCAGTGAAAAAAATAGCTCTTCCTATCAGAACTGATAATGAGGTCTGCAGCCATGGGGTCCTGTTTGCCTCAGAATACACAAATAAATTAAACCATGGGATGATTTCAAAGGATTTGTTGATTCCAGAAAAAATAATCAAAGGAAATTATGAACTTTGTATAACTTGATAAAGTCAAGTCACCTGGGAAGTGAAGCCTGCCCAGACCTAGAGGGGCTACCTCGGGCATTCCTCACACACCCAAGGTGTCCAGGAAGGTCGGCAGGAGACCCATATGCACAACCAGGCTGACCAGAAAATGACTGATTTCTGGTTTTGGCCTGCAGGGACCTGTGAGGTCCTATTGCAATACAGTTTAAAGAAGCATGCAGCAGCTATTCAGTGGCTATATCTACACATGCACACTTAATGCACATTAGCCCAATTTAAGGCACATTAAGGGCATGTGTCTACATGTGCATGCCCTTAATACACCTTAAAAATGGTGATTTAAGGCTATTCAAGCCTAAATTTGATACCTGCCTAAAGCAGGTATTACATTTATGCGGGAATAGTTAAACTGCATTAGCAAACATGTAGACTAACTAATGCTCATTAACATGGGGTGTGTCCATTGATTTGGGACTAAATTT